TATACAAACTTTGAAATTTGAATTTTGCATTCTCATCTGTAATTGGATGGCAGAATGGTATGCAAAACATTCATTGTACAGAAAGAAAAAATAGACTATAGAATCATTTGAAAAAATAACAGTTACAATCATACAAATGTGCCATAAAATTTATAACGAATGTATTTAGTCCTGAAAATGATAAAAGCTGCAAAATATGCAGCAAAAAGCATAAACACTAATTTTATATGAATTTTTAAAAATAAAAGTAACATATGCATTATTGGACATCCTTAATTTGATCTACTTGGACCCAAATCATATTTATATTGATGTTTTAACATCATATCATTTAAGGAAAAACATGCACATACAAAAAAATCTGACCCTTAATTATTATGCAGTAAACATCTAAAAGTTTCCGTGAACCAAAGGTAGAAAAAAGTTGACTTACAAAACAATAATATATAGTTAATTTCAGAAAAAAATAAATAAAACTTACATAAATAAGTTAAATCATCAATCAAGCTTAGTGGATTAATAATTAATAATTTTGTTATGAATTAATTTGCACAAAAAGAGTTTATATAAATATATGAAAAAAATTTTTAATATAAATTTAATTTCTATTTTGTTTATCTAAACTGTATATTTTTCATTACATTTTTTGAAGATATTTCAGTTAAAATAAATTATTAATGTAAAAACTTTTAAGATTTTTATGAAAACTTACCAAACTACATTTCTTTTCTCTTTACACAAATCAAATTTAAATTTTAAAATTACTTAACATGATACTACTGTACATCATTTATACTGACTTACTTAACCTTAAAACCTTTCAAAATTAACATTTCTTAAAAGTAAACATACAGTAAATAATAATTAAATTATTAAAACCCATATAATCAATTCTACTTTAAGATTGTCTTAATTAATTAAATTCATCTTAATTAAGTTGAATTATTTTTCATGTAAATAACAATGTTATATTGATTTGAAAAGACTGAATTTGCTCTATACTAAGAAAGAAAATGAACAAAGGGATTCTAAATAGCCTCTGCATGTGTAACTTTTAAATCTAAGAACAGTGGATTGTTTATTTATAACATAATTGTATTTTTTATAAAAGAGAAAAGAAAAAAAAATTTCCTTCCTCTGTTATAACACTTCACAATTAAGGTTGCAGTTTTAATTCTTAAAGGATTATGTTCAAATACAAGAATATAGTAGTTTCTCAGATGCAGACTAAATACATATGTGCAGATGCAAACAGGATGTTATAAACTTCTAAAATTTCCGGAATTTTATCTCTATCATTACATTTTATACCTCTCTAAACAGTAGAGTGCTGATTGTAACTACTGTAAATCAAATTTAACCAACCAGTGTGATGCATACATCTTAAAAGCATTTCACTTCATAAAATTTATGTAAGCATTTCCATCTGCTTTAACTTGAGTTTTTCAGCAAATATATAAAATGTTTTTAAAACAAATTCATAAAAGTTAAAATTAAAAATATCATTTTTCATTTAAAAAAATTTATATATCATAATTGATGGTATGATTTAACTTAGTTTCAGAAGGACATTTGTGCAACAGTAACAATTTTTAATAGTACAAATTAATTTGACTCTAGTAGCTTATTAACTTTTCCCAGATTCTACACAAGTATATCACAGGCTTAAAACATTTTAAGCTATATAAAGAATAAGTTTAACTAGCTATTGTTTAGAAATAAGTTTAAAATTAGCGATAAAAGAGGCAGCCTATTTTCTTTTTGTTAGTAAATTTAATCCAAGATTATATATTTTACGATTTTTTACATCTTAATTTGCTATAAGAATATAAACTAACTGTTTGTTTTAATCACCATCCTAATATTCAACAGAAAATTATGCAATGATAATTTGAGAGCTTGTGTTTTTGTTACATTTCATGACCATAAATTTAACTATGCCAATAAAAAAATTAGACAAAAAAAAAAAAAATTGCATTCATCATGTGCTATACATTTCCAAATATTTATTTGATATTGAAAATGCAACATACAGTATATAGTTGTAAAAGTATTCATCTCACCATCATTTATAAATTTAAAATACTGGTTTATGTTTAATTTACTCTAAAAACTAGTCTGATCTATGTCTGATTTCTTAAACTTTTATATTCAACATATTTTATTAAAACCTTACATGTATTTTATCTTTTTTATTAACAAATTAATAAATTCTTCTTTACTTCACAACTGGGTACATAGATAGACACTGGAATTAATAAATGTAATATTTATTCTATACTTAGTTCACAACAGTATTAAATTGTCATAAGAATTTTACAAATTTTATGTTAATATTTGTCCTATTTACTCATATATTTCAACAATATATTGTTTTATTTTCATGTTTAGTATATATGTGAATTCTGAATATATCAAAGTTTTATATATATATATGTATACACACAGAGAGACACAATTCAAGTAGCATATCATATACCTATATCAATACCTTGTTCCTTGATTCTAAGACATACTATGAATTTGAAATCAAATTTTAAGATTATTTTATTGAGGAAAAAGTTTTAAATAATTAATTTTTATTGAGTTTTGTTAAATAAAAACCCCATTAGAAACATAATACAAAGCTACAAAACAAATAATGTTTGAAAGTTCAATTTTCATTATATCAACTTGAAGACATTTTAAATATTAACAATTACTTATTTTGATGTTATAATAATGTTGGGCTGCAATTTTTAATCCTATCTTAATTAGAAAAATTACATAATTTCTGGTTCAGACCAGAAGTTCGTATATAGTTAATTGGGGCCTTCAGCTCCTAAGCTTTCCATATCTGGTCTTGATTTTCATCTATCTAACTCCATTCTCAAGAAGGATGGACAGACAGACAAATGACAATGGGAATGTGTAGGTCTGCAACTGTAACCCAAAAAGGAGTTTAAATTAAACATATATCAGCAAAGCTTACTAACATTCACTTCTATTTTGGATAAGTAAAAATGGATAAAAAAACATATGTCTAAGAATCAGAAAAATACAGTGTATGCTAATTGAAGGGTTTGTGCATATAATATATATACAAACATCCACTTCAACATATATAACTTTTTTTAATGTAATTCCATGTTTTTCTAGCTCCTTTGCTACAAATTTCACAGATATATATTTATAAAATAAGTTCCATTTGCACACAGATTATTTTTATCCATTAAACTTATACAACTTTTATTCTCAAATAATATTTATTCTCTGCAAATACTGTACACACATTAACAAAGCATGATGCACATGCCAATCAATTATTTACTTATTCATTGTAATTATTCATGTATTACAATATCTTTATATTTATTAATATTACATACATAGTTACTTTCTCAGTATATAATATTGATCATAACATTGTATTACAGATACTAGAAGACAGAAATAATCTCATGATATCTACATACATAATGAAATAGATTATTCAATGTCAGAAAATTTTTTAATGGAAAAGAATATGTGGACCCTCTATGCAAGTTAAAAATGAAATCATTATTTAAATAAATAACTTTTAAACAGAGCTCTCATACTGATTTAAAGTATTAAGCTAATTAGAATATCAAAAAAATAATAATTAAATGACAATTAAACAAAAATTTAATTAAAATGCTGCTTATACAAACAAGATAATTCAAAAAGTTTATTAATACATTTTTGCATCATCATCACCATCATCATCATAATTACAAAGGTATCCTGATGATGAGAACAAACAAAGGAACTTAATACAGTTACGAAAAATACTTTATTTAAAAACTAATAAATAATTCTTTGTAAAATCCACAGCTATTTATTCAACAAAAATATTCAGTTTAAGTAGTAATGCTTACATATATTCTATTAGAATATTAGAATACATTTTAAAAATAATTTAAACATTTTTACACTTAAAAAAAAGTTAGCAAATTCCACTTTTAAATCATATTTCAAATCCATACCCAAAGATGTCTTAAACAAGCCAAAAACATTTCTGTAATAGAACAATCTCAAACTATTATCTAACATATCATCTCTCACTTTTTAATAATTTTCTTTATTTTTCACAATTTACAACGGCAATGCAAAGTGGAAGAAGTAGTCTGCTCTCTCACAAAATTCAAACATAAGATCCCACAAAAACATGCACAATAAAAATTTAAACGATCAATAATAAGACCATCAAATCATACAATTTTACATCAGTTTTCCACTATCCATTAAATCAATATATATATATGTAGAAAGAGATTTAGAAATAAAAATCAACATGTATCATAATTAAGATAAGAGAACAAGGTTTTAATTTGAAAACATAATTGTAATGATATACACTTCTGTAGAATAGTGCATTTTCATATAGAAAAACAAAGAAACTTAAAACCTTAACAGAAAAAAGCTTTAATTATAAAAATTTGATTTTTATGATTTAAATACTTTCTCCATTTTTAAAATCAGTATTCATTTTAATTATGATTTAACTCATTAATAGTAATCATGATTAAAATTCATATGTAATTGATTATATATTGGATGATGATTATGAATTTGATAGAGAGTAATTACTTTCACTTAAACCAAGGTATTAATTTCATTTAAAGTATAAAATATAATCAGGTCTTGTAAAATTCTTCTTGATTTAATACAAAATTAAAATTAATTCCAGCAAATTTTCTATGTTAAGAACAATTTTAATTAAGTTTAGGTTTGATTTTACGATAAACTCCATATAATTCTATTATAATCGAATCTGTATACGTTAAACCTACAAATATATTTAAATAATTCATTCTTTAGAAGATAATTAATTAATTTATAAATTAATTTTATAAAACTTATTTCGGAATTCTAAAAATCCCAAAGGCAAATTTATCATCGAATTAATCATCGTTTAATGCATTTTTTAAATACGAAATTATTATAGAACAACGAATAAGACGATTAACATTGAGTAAATATTGCAATAAAGAACTTACATTCCTATTCTAATTACTTGGTCTAACATTTCTTTCTCCCAAACATCAAAACAAGACATTCCGCCATCTTACCATTGGTTGGTGACGTCAAAAATCGTGAGCAGCAGACATTAATTTTATCAAATAATTAATTAACTAATTTATTTTTGCTTTTATATATTAATTAATTATTTATTNCGCGAATATCAAATACAATTTCTTTATGTTTTATATTAAAATGTATTGAATATACGCGTCCTACTAACCGATTTATGTCATAATTCAAATTTATTAAAGTTAATTATAAAAAAATGTGGATATTTTTTTCGTAATGGAAAATAGGACGTTAATTAGTATTAATTTTCTGTATTATATCTCTTCGATAACATTTTTACTTTCACAAAACCATACATTCGTTTATTAGTTTATACTATAGTGTAAGCTATGGTTTCATGAGAACGTAATATGAAAAATGCAACCTGATTCCTTTATCCGGCTACTAAGACAAATAATTACTAAAAAGTTTGGTAGAAGGTAGGCGGTTCGACCGTCATCAATTGTTAAATTTAATAATTATAAATAAATGGAATTTAATTTTAGAATATTATGGGAAAAGAAGTTGATCCCGGAACGGGATTCGAACCCACAACTACGGCTTAGTTGCTAGTTACGCTACGGTCTTTGCTTGTAGATTAATTAATTAATTAATTAATTTAAATACGACGATATCAATCACTCACGAGCTGAGTGCCAACTGCCCCATTGTTCTCAGCCAATTTACACTTTAAACTCCGGCATGATATACAGTATGTATATATATATATATTTTACAATCAATTTAATAATTAATTCAGAAATGGCAACCTTACCGCCTATCTCCTGCCAAATCTATTAGTAATTATTTAGCCTTAGTAGCCGAGACTGTTCGTTTGATATTTGAAGTAACTATCCGATTGGTTGTATTCGTTATAAAAAAATATGTAACTTGTGTCTATATATTCACGGTGACGACAATGTCATGTTTTCTATTGGTTGGTTATCATGTGGTTAAAATCCGCCATATTCAGTCGAAAGGTGTAACGTGATTCTGTATATTTTTAATAGGTTGATATACTCTTAACTCGTTTATAAATTTATTTAAATTAAAAATTTCTGAACAAACCTATATAACATAACTCATGTAATTTCGATACAGTATTGTTTAGGTCAATTTTCTTAAATTTTTGCACTTTAATTTTTTTTCTTTAATAGGATCTTCCAAAATCTAGAATAATTGGTCTTCTTGCATGCCACTTAGTCACTTCGTCATTATCTGGCCTTTAATGTTTATAATATATAACCATGGTGACCAAACTGTGGCTTACAAGCCTCATGCGCTATTCTGGATCCTTATTATAATTGACGTATCAAACAGTTTCTCTTTTTAAACTCGATACATACTACTACACATATGTCATTTTTAGCAAGTTTGCTGAATATTATGAAGTATGTAGTACGCAGGGTGGATCTACATAGGGACTATAGGACTTAAGCCCTGGGCAGCCTACCGCTCTGGGGACCCGGAATCGAATCCGGACGGGCCGAAAAATCCCCAGAAGTTTTTCGGGAGTGGTCCGTTCTGATATGTCGGGCCCCGTCTCTCACCATCCGGTTTGCCCCCATTGTTTCAGCTGTTAGATCTCCGTGTTTTACAACTCCTCAACGATAGTGCTTGCGCGAGTTCTCGTCCCTTTTTAAAAATCAAAATCCCCGTTTTTTATAGTTGTGTTTTTCTCTCTCTCTGTGCAGTCTGTAAAGTTCTCAACTGCTTTATTGAAGACTTTGCTAATACGTATAATTTGTCATCCTATCCTGCGCTGTGAACGGACGAATTACCGTTAACATATCGAAACCAAAGTTAATGGTAAAACCCTAACCCTAACATTAGCATACCTGACCAAACCCATGGCTTGTTAAAAGAGGCCTTCTTTTTGCGCACGGGGCGGAAAGATTTTTTTTAAAAAGGTGGTTTTAAACTGGGGTAACGCTTCAGGGTGGTGCGAAGTATGACGCTAAGCAAAGCGTAGTACTTATTACGTAGATTACTAAAAGTACGTAAAGCTTAATAACTCTACAGTGAAAAGAAATAGACGTATCATAAGAAAAAACCACCAAGTTGTAGTGTCAAGGTTGAAAAACACTAACAGTCGATCATACAGTACCAGTAAAATAGCAGCGAACTTACTATAAACTATTGTATTTTAATCAGCGGACTATAAAAAAGGGAACACAAGCTATAAAAAAAGGGCATCGTACGTAGTGGTACATTAATAAAATATACGGTATATATATATATATATTTACAGGTATCCCTTGATTAATTCCTCGATGTTACCGCGAATATCAAATACAGTGGTACCTTGGTACTTGATCGAACTAACAATTACGACCCTCTAGAGCAAATTTTCAGTTAATAACAAATATTTGGGCTGCAATTTGAAAAAACTGTAGACTTATATATTCCCGTCGTCGTCCGTTTGTCTGTCCTTCCTTAATCTCAATAACGGAGTTAGATAAATGAATGGCGAGACTAGATATTAAAAGCATAAGGTCAGGAGGCCCCGATTAAGCATATACGAACATCCGACGCTTACCGAAAGTCATGTTATTTTCAATCAAAACTTTTCTGTGATTAAAATTAGTAACCCACGGGTTACTAATTTTAATCACAGAAAAGAAAAGGGCAACCCAACGACAAAGGAGGGCATGTGCCCAATATACGGGCGCTCATAATTCTAACTATATCTACATGCATATATATCCTCATGCTCATAATCCAAAAAGGATGAATAACAAGCGAAAGGTGATTATTTTAACTATTACATAAAATATGGTTTTAATAGGAGCAGCTCTTGCGTATTTCTGATAGCTGATATATGGCTCCTATTATGACAAGGTTTGGTCACTCGTGATATATAACTACAGTAGAGCGTCGATTTTCCGAAAGTCAATCATCCGAAAGAATTCCAGTCGGCAAATTTAAATTTTCGCCAGTGCTGTGGCGCTGCAATCTTTGGCTATGTCTTGGGCTACTCAAATATTTTACGTTTTTGATACTAAATTAACTTCTGAAGTATAATTTTTTATTGTTTTTATATTTTTCAATATATTTTGTTTGTACAAAATAAAGAAATAATTTTTAACGATACAATAGTCACGATTATTATTTTAAAAAGTTTACGTTAGGCTTAACATGACGAAAATTCAATGCGAAGCAAAACGCAACGGAGAAAAATTTCAACATGAGATAGGTTAATATATTTTTTCGTACATAATCGGTTATCCGAAATATCGATTTTCCAAACAACCTCAGTCCCCAATTGATTCGGATAAACGACGCTCTACTGTATGTCCATGTCCATGCAGCAAGCTGATGTTGTGGGTTCAAGTCACACTTTAGGTGAATTCTTTTCTTCCAGAACTTTAAATTAATATTTAATAATTTATTTAGAATTACAATTATTAAATTTATCAAGAGATTGCACCTAATGACTACCTCTAGATCAAATTACTTGACTTTTAATTAATAATTAGTATCATTATTATAGCCTGATGTAATCAAGCAATTGTTTTGGATTCAAACTAAAAATTGAGCTATTGGATAATTAGACTTGTAATTATATCAATACTTTCCAAATTGAAGAAATATATACATAACACACTAATAACAATTTAAATAATCAGAATGTTTTTGGCCTCTTGAAGACCATCTTCACTGTTTACTAGGTACTGTAGTTTATTAAATAAATTACTATTAATTAATCATACGCTAATACAATACTATTATTATTATTTTTAATTTAATTGATTACTATTAATTTAACAGTATTAGTTGTAATAGTTGAATATAATAATTGACTTAAACTCAATAGCTATTCCATTAACCATATTTCTCATATAATGGAACTCGATTATGGATTGTGGGACCAGGGTTCTGTCGGATAAGCCAGAAACTCATGTTTGTTTTGGGTACCAAGACTGTATTTATAATTTTATGAATTATAAATAATGTGATGCAATTACATTACCTTAGATTTTGAGTAAATTTACTTTCAAATACAGTAATTGCATTACAGTATATATACTGTACATATATATGATCTAGTTTCGTGGCGCTGTAATCGGCAAATACGGTATAGTAAAATTTCCAGTTACATGAAGTTCGATCTTAGAGTATATATACTCTGTGGTATTATAGTACATAAAATGCTACACGTTCTAGTTTTTTACCATTTTAGATAACTGAGTTTCTACTATATCTACTTTTAAAAAGTGTTTAAAATCTTATCTAGTAGTATTACAATTTTATTTAAAATGATTAATACTACATAGTTAAAGCTTATTGTGCTCAAAGTTTCTTCCTTTTGTCATATTCAAGAACACGAACAAAATAACCTATTAAAATGAAAGTAGTTTGCATTTCTTATAAACACACAAGTCGCCTGCCGACACTCAACTGAACATAATGGCGCTAGTTATGTCACACACTCGAATAACTAGTGTCTGGATAATCACAACTTGTATTGTAATTACCACATTCATACAAAGTGAAAAACTTTTTCACTAGTTTTCGGAAATATAAAATAATGCAATCTTCATTTTTAACATAAAAGACAAATATATATATAATATATATTTATTTATTTAGAGCTGACAATATCTATGCAAGATAAATGAAAAATTTTGGCATACTTTTCCGAAAGTTATAATCTGGACTGAACGCAATTCCATATTCCATATAATAATAATATTTAATAGCATAATCTTCTAGTATGTAAGATGTAGCACTATATTCTTCCAACAGTTAAAGTTGACATGTTGGTATATGAAAATGAATTGTGCATCCTCAAGAAAGTTCTAATTTAGATCTTGCTTTGATTAGATACCGAACGATTCTTGTTAATGCTAAGTTTGCAGACACATTTCTTCACAATGCAATAATAATCATTCAAAATCTGATACATTTTTAAAAAAAATTACATAGTTACCTCTTTCTTGCAGCTTTGCCTTAGGGTTTTGTACAAAAGGATGCAAAATATGAACATATTATGAACCTCATTAAAATCAAATCCTAGCCAAGCTGCTATTGGTTATAGCAATTAACTCTATTATGGCCCTAGTGAATCTTAATAGGCATGATATCAAAAAGAGCATTATGCCCACTGAAAGCCTGGAATGTCCTCTACTAGGAGGTATCATTATTTTTCAAGTTACCATCCCTGTCCACATACACCATTGGACAAATTGTTGCATTCCTTTGGTGAGTTTTCTCCCAGACAAGTGATGCACATCTGCTTGCACCTCTGCATTACTGGTATAATAGTCTCTCTTCAGAGGCTGTTTAAGCTTCAGAAAAAGGAAAAATGCTTCAGGTGCAATATCTGGCTGTACAATTTGGTAAAATCTTGTGAAATTTGAGATGCGGTAATGTATCCTGCATTTATCAACTTTTGTGTCCAGCACTGTCATGGTGGATGGCCATCTTGACCATTCAGCCTTTGTTCCATGAGCACTAAGAACCCTTTTTTTGCAAACTCAGCTAGGCTTGTTACAAAGCAATCAAATCACAAGGGACAGACCCAATGCATTCCAGTCACCTGTAAAACTTTAAGAAACCTGGACTCAAATTGGCTCTCTTGGAATGGCAGGCAATCTTTACTGCCTCAACCATTTGGTTTGATTTTGTAATTTGACAGGATAAAGCAATGCAACACAAAAGCAATTGGCCAAGGGAGTGAGCTTCTCAGGGAGACTTTCTACAAGAAAATAGTTCCTGTTTGGACATTAGACACGTAAAGAAAGTCCCAAAAACTTCTTTGCCATCCCATCGGTTGGGCATGAACCCAGGACCAACTATCACTGCCCAGTAATTTTATTAATCAGCCACTGCTGGACAGTCAATCGTTTGGTTGCACACATTGTAGTATAAAAACAAGGTATTTTTTTATTTAATTATTCTAATATGTGAAAAATTTCACATTTTTCTATTACTTCTAGAATTTAATTTTTATCAGTATAATAGAATCAATTAAACCTACAGTACATTATTATTTCTTCAGAAATAATTTGTAAAGAACAATATTTGAAAAACAGATTCAGGATTTTTATTCTTTATTAAAAATTAATTTATTGATCTATAAAGCATCTTTTTTAGCATTTTTAATCACACATTCTTAACTTTAGACATTGAGACATTCTTGTTTAAAATTAAATCACTTTAAATAAATAAATAAGTATTAAGTATTTTAAGCAATATATTTTATTTAATTGTGATTTGTTATAAACTAATGAAACTTTGAACTTCATTTCTCCCAAACAGTAAATGTTTAAGCAAATTAAAAATTGATCTGATCAGTTCTTTTTTAATTTATCTCCATTTTATATATTTTATTATTTCATTAATTTTTTAAATAAAAATAAATATGTTGTAAATGACTGTAAACATTTTTATTTTGCGTTGATTAAAAAAAGAAATGTTTTTTTGAGTTCTAGCATGTAAAAATTAAATCAGAAATGCTCCTATTTCCCAGTCTTCATCGTCACTATCTTCAAATTCCTCTGCACCTTGAAAAAGCTGATTGAAACAAGGAGTGTTCGGCCTGTTAAAATGTTCGTATGGATTTACCTGTTTTAAAATTTGCATACATATCCAACAGAAGTAGGTCTTACATTTCCAACATGCCATTTTATTGCATCCATCAATTTTCTATCAAATAAAGAATAAAAATAAAATTTTAATATGTATTTTAATCTCTTAATTACTTATATTTACTACATTCCTAATTATAAAAATTAAAATAACAGTTGCAACAATTAAAAATGATTACAGCATTAATAAATTTTGCAAAGCTCCAGATAGAGTCAAAACACTCACTAAAATTTGTTTTAAAATGCAATTAAAATAATCCTAAAAGAAAATATAAAATATGATAAACTCTTTAATATTAAAAAAGTTGGAACCACACCTCAAACACTTGTTGTGTTTGAGGTGTGGTTCCAACAGGGCAGCATTTACCTTTATTTTGAGATATTTTCAATCTCAGTATGTAAAACTTGTTAAAATACCTGACAGTGGCAGTGTAATTGATAAAAACAAATACTCTAATTTAGTTTAAAAAAACTAATTATATGCTGTCTATATTTCTTTATAAAAAAAAAACTATATTTTTGGAAAAATCACTTTCTATATTTTGAGTGAAAATTTAATAATAATTTTTCTAATATTAAAAATTATGTTATGATTGTATTATTACACTTGTCAAAACTTAAGGATAAACACAACTGCTAGTGGTGATAGCTAGAAAAAGTTACTGAGCCAGCAGGTGACAATTTGCATAGATGTACAAATGAAGCCTGCCTCCATATTGACAAGTCTCTCTGCCTTGTTATTGTTAAGCACTTTCCATCCATTCTCCTCCTATGTCCAATTGCTATATGTATCTTTTTCACCAAAGACTCACTTTTATTGTTTTGATTTGTAAAATCCTACAATTTATGTTAAGACATCAAATAATACAATTCTTCTGTATTTGTCTGCATTTGTTTTCAGTTTCCTCTATTCATGTTACCCATTCTTAAGTTTTGGACACACACACACATATATATATATATATATTAATCTAGATTTAATAGATATGTAATCTTCATTAATTTCAGGAAAAAATATCCATATACTAACCTCAATGGAAGCATTACAATTTGGACATTTTTTACTGTTGTTCTCAACCCATTCTTCAGATAATCCTTCCTCCACTAGCACTTGCAGAGTACGTTTTCCAAAACGGCATTCCATTTTAGATCTAATTTCCTTATTTCCCTGGAGATATTCTTCCCTAATTTTTTTTCTTTCTTCTACATATACAAAAATAAAATTAAAAAATTTTTTTTTCAAAATTGTAATTAAAAAATTTGAGAATATATATGCTAAACTGATTTAGTATTCAAATAACTTTTCTACCTGATTTAAAACGGCAAGATGCAATGCCATGATACACCATCCTACAATAAGTGCAAAATACAAATTCACAAGATGGACATATTCCCATTGAACAGTCAGATTCTAAAATTACTGGTGTTTGGCAAAATATTCTTGGACAATAAACAACGTCTGTCATACATTCTAGTATTGAATTAAGTAAGAGTCTATCATAACGAGCAAAGGTGTCCGGACTTACTAATTCACGTATCTAAAAATTACAAAACAAAAATTTTATATATGATAAATAATTAAAGCATTCTATTCTATTTAGAACATATTTGCACTAATAAAAATTTAAGAAAAACAGAAATACACTCATTGCCATAAAAATTAGTACACCAAGAAAGACTTGTATCATTGCAAAACTTGGCATGCAGATAAGTCTCAAGCAGATATGGAAATGATAGTTATATAGCATAATGGCTCATTGCATAATGCCAACAGAGAGCATTAAACTGCATCCCCTTGACCTGTAAAAAAAGCATGCAAAGGCATCTTGTCTGTAGTTTACCTGTTGCAGAGGGACACTATATCATTAGAGATGCCTTTATGGTACAATCTATGATGTGCAATTCAATGATATATACAGAGTGTGAACTTATTTTATTTACTGAAATGTAGAGATGCAGTAATCAATTACTTAGTTCTTTTGTGTAGTCAATTTGTTTTCTCTGGGCTTTGGAAATAGTGATGCAGAATGATACGCCAATCTTGAAAAACTCATTCAATCAAATCTTAGGAAATCTAATTCCAAATCTCAATTGCTTTTTTCCAGCTACTGCATGCAGTTTTGAAGAAAAAATTTTGTATGAGGTAGCCAATTCCAAAAAAGTCAAATAAATTAGCATCAGAAGACTTAGTAAGAATGGAATTAATTAAATAAAAAACAAAAACAATTTAATTTCTAATTGTTTTGAAATATGAATTGGAAATCAAGTTGCATATATGTGATGAAACTTTAGGGGTATATTATGGATGCATGGTAAACTGTAACACTGTCCACCATATGAGGATATAGTTATGATAGATACTTTTAAGATATTGTCACAATATAGTTCTCTATTAAACTTGATCTTAGGAGACATTTTATTGAGGATGGTAAGATATCATGCATACCGATTATTTCATTTACCATAAAGCCCACAGGCTAACTTAATGCAGCATCACAATCAACTTTCAAGTGGTTGTTTCTCACATTTGAGGTAACAAATTTTCCTTTTGCTTTTCAATAACCAAGAAACAGTCATATTCCATTCTGCTTGATAAGAATTTCCTATGATGATGTCCCAGATGAATCAAAATAATTAATACCATATAATTCCAGCATTTATTTATTTCAAATGTTTTCAACTACAGTACAGCGTCGTTTATCCGAAGGTCGGTTATCCGAAGGAATTCCAGTTGACAAATTTAAATTTTTGCCAGTGCTGTGGCGCTGTAATCTTTGGCTATGTCTTCGGCTACTCAAATACTTTACGTTTTTGATACTAAATTAACTTCTGAAGTATATTTTTTTATTGTTTTTATATTTTTCAATATATTTATTTTGTTTGTACAAATAAAAAAATAATTTTTAACGATACAATAGTCTTTGTTAGGCTTAACATCGACAAAAATTCAACGTGAAGCGACACGCAACGGAGAAAAATTTCAACCCAGGATAAATTAATATATTTTTTCGTACATAATTGGTTATCCGAAAAATAAGTTATCCGAACAACCCCAGTCCCCAATTGATTCAGATAAACGACGCTCTACAGTATTTAAAAAGGTCTTCCTCAAGCTACATCAGAAAGAATATTACAACCAGTTTAGAGTAAACAGATTAACTGGAAGTGTGTGATGATCCATTTTATCCAATTTTCTCATTTAATTCACCACATCCAAAAAACTTTTGTAACTCCAATGGTGTGTGTTTACACACCAGCGAACGTTTTCGACCCCATCTGGGTCTTCCTCAGGCTACAGTTATACAGAATTCGAACGTATGCAGAATGGAACAACAAAACTAAACAAATGCGATTCAAACTTTAGAAAAAACCAAATTTAAGAATAAAATGGAACATTACCCAAGTGCTGAAATGACGATTAAGCTTGTGCCACTTCACATTTGCGAAATGTTGAACACATTTCTCATTTACGTTGTTCCAGTGGGTTGATCTGTAACTATCTCAACTCTCTGGAAATTCAAATTTGTCAGATGCTTATCAATTAGTCTTTGAAGTTTATTGAACTTTATTTATTTAATCTCATTCAAAAAGTAATAAACTGGATTAATTATGACTGTCAATAATAAAAATAAATTCATAGAATTAAAAACATGTAAAGTCAAATTAAGTGAGATTAATTTGATTGATGGAGATAAATTAGAGAAATTCTCAGAATCAGGTGCATAATACCAAGACTATCAAAATGATGCTGACAAAAGTTTTAGGATAATTCATTTCTGTCATAGAGTTTTGAGAAAGACAGCAATGAAAATTTAGTTCTATGAAAGTTCAAAAATATCCTGCTTGAAGCAGAAATCCTATGGATAACTTTTGGTATTTTCAACTTGAGTTTAAAAATGAACTAAAAATGGAACAGGAAAATATATATTAAATACTGTCATGTGAATACTCAAATTTTGAAAATTAAAAACCATGCATGCTTTACATTTCAATAAATAAAACTAATTACCCTTTGTAAATAGGATTAGATGATTTTATTAAAGATAACAAAATCTGATATCTGATATTATAAAATTTATTATATATTGGTTTTATTGACTGATTCACCAATATAAAATGTTTGTGTATATCAGACTCTTATAGAAAAATAAAATAATACAATTAAGACAACTTTTGAGTATGTTACCTGAAAAATCAAAATCACATCATCTCAGAAGAGTAATGGTCTTATTTTAAATTAATCTCTATGAGTTATTGAGGGGTACTACATCATATTTACATCATATATATGAAATAAATATATAAACAGAGTGTTTCTATAACTATAAAACTATATATATATATATAGTTATAGAAACTCTCTGTAAACTGCATGTTAATGTTATTTATTATTTATAGTTACTTAATTTATATATCAAAACATTTAAAAATCAGCAATAAGACAAAAGAAAATATAACTTAAAATGATTATTATTTGTTCTGTATTTTCAAAAATAGATGATGCTTGAAAACAACTATTCCTGAACCAAAATTTAACAGAGGTAACCAAGTTTAAATTTTAATGACTTGTCATTAACACCAAGTAACTATTGGATTACATTAAGCTACTAATGTAATCCAATGCTACTAATTATTAATTAAAAGTCAAACAATTTGGCCTAAAGGTAGGTGTTAGACGCTATCTCTTGATAAATTTAATAATTATAATTAAATTAATATTTAGTAATTAATTTAGAAGGTTTTAGAAGAAAACAATCAGCCCGAAGCAGGACTTAAATCTGCAACTCCTGCTTGGACATTGCCAATTATGCTATCTGGACCTCCATCTGATCTCTGCTCCCAGAAATATTAACTTAGATATAACTATATTGTTTATTTACTGCATCATCTGTACCCACAGTCTGTAACACTTACTATGCTGATGCTCAGCTGGCTATCACTTTAACCCCAGCATAGTGTGTGTGTGTGTATACAGTAGAGTGTTGATTATCTGAAAGTCAATTACCTGAAAGAATTCCAGTCGGCAAATTTAAATTTTCGCCAGTGCTGTGGCGCTGCAATCTTTGGCTATGTCTTGGACTACTCAAATATTTTACGTTTTTGATACTAAATTAACTTCTGAAGTATAATTTTTTATTGTTTTTATATTTTTCAATATATTTTGTTTGTACAAAATAAAGAAATAATTTTTAACGATACAATAGTCACGATTATTATTTTAAAAAGTTTACGTTAGGCTTAACATGACGAAAATTCAATGCGAAGCAAAACGCAACGGAGAAAAATTTCAACATGAGATAGGTTAATATATTTTTTCGTACATAATCGGTTATCCGAAATATCGATTTTCCAAACAACCTCAGTCCCCAATTGATTCGGATAAACGACGCTCTACTGTATGTCCATGTCCATGCAGCAAGCTGATGTTGTGGGTTCAAGTCACACTTTAGGTGAATTCTTTTCTTCCAGAACTTTAAATTAATATTTAATAATTTATTTAGAATTACAATTATTAAATTTATCAAGAGATTGCACCTAATGACTACCTCTAGATCAAATTACTTGACTTTTAATTAATAATTAGTATCATTATTATAGCCTGATGTAATCAAGCAATTGTTTTGGATTCAAACTAAAAATTGAGCTATTGGATAATTAGACTTGTAATTATATCAATACTTTCCAAATTGAAGAAATATATACATAACACACTAATAACAATTTAAATAATCAGAATGTTTTTGGCCTCTTGAAGACCATCTTCACTGTTTACTAGGTACTGTAGATGATATTTTAAAAAAGAAAAAACATTGGCTTCAGAACAAATACTATCTCAAATTTTTTTAAAAAGCCACAAAACATTATAAAACCTGAAAGATTTTTTTAAAAAGCAGAACATTCATTAAATGGAAATAGAAATAACAAAAACATTTCTGAGGCTAGATCATATGACTAAATATCCATTCTAAAAATTTAAACAAAGCATAGGCAGAAAGCTGGTGAGATGGAGGTGACAAAAATTAAATTAAGGTCAAATAAATAGAGATATAATTATACAGTAGAGCGTCAATTATCCGAATCAATTGGGCACTGGGTCATTCGGATAACCGATTATGTACGAAATATATATTAATTTATCCCATCTTGACATTTTTCTCCATTGCTTGTCGCTTCACGTTGAATTTTCGTCGATGTTAAGCCTAACGAAGACTATTGTATCGTTAAAAATTATTTTTTTATTTTATACAAACAAAATAAATATATTGAAAAATATAAAAACAATAAAAAATTATACTTCAGAAGTTAATTTAGTATCAAAAATGTAAAATATTTGAGTAGCCCAACATATAGCCAAAGATTGCAGCGCCATAGCACTGGCGAAAATTTAAATTTGCCGACTGGAATTCTTTCAGATGATTGACTTTCAGATAATCGATGCTCTACTGTAATTACAAAACACATCATCTTTCCAACATTTCATATTTTTCTGACAATATACTGGATGTCCTCTTTCTAATGAATATTTTACTTTCTTAGTAAGAAGTCTGCTTCCATTCAAATATTTCATAACAGTAAAATGATGCGAGTCTAATGTAGTTTTATATACAACATATATGTAAAGAAAGCTGCATCACTTTTATTACAATTTATTCCACAAATCTTTAAATATATATTTAAAGATCTTAACCATCCTCCAGATAACTTAATTAACTTTGTAAAACATGTTAAATAAACTGTACCACTATTTCATTATGTTTATCTTAAAATAATAATATAAATATTTATCTTCTTTTAAAATATATAAATCTATATATATATACATATATATATATATATATATATATTTAGG